ATACTAGAGGTTTGCAAAAGTTTAGATTAGCGTCTTCTACGGGCAAAAATGATAAACTAAAAAGGGAAAGGGGAAGTATTTTCGGAAAGGCGCGAAACTTTGAATAAAACATTTCCCTGATATTATAAAATAGATTAATGTAAAAACAAATTCAAGCGATGAATTAATTATTCAACATAACCTCCAAAGAGTCTCTAAAGTTAAGGTTGAAATGAAATTATTTGACTTAATCTCTATAAATAGAATTATTTTCAATAATCTTTTTGATGAGCTTAACTTTCTCTGGTCTACAGTAGTAACAAACCATGTGTCGATTTTGTATGTAATTCAATTACTAATGAAAGCTATACCGATTGGTCAACTAGTAGGCCTTCAATTAATTCGAAGCATGATGCTGCTAAATCGTGACTCGTTACGAATAGTGCGCATATAAATGATCATGATGCAGGGTAGGCAAAACAATGTATGTTTGAGGAGGTGTAGCGTCATATGATTTGCACCAAACAAAAGCAACAGCCGTTAATGAACGCTGTCAGCAACAACTTAGCCAAAACTGTTTCTGATAAGGTTTGGCCGCATGTGATGTAGCCATCGCTTGTAGAAACGTTCCCACCCCTGGAAACCGGATGATGTTACACTCTCAACAGTATTTACCAGGCATTCTGCTTAATACTGAACTCGATTCATGATTCATTGCATGTTCGGTCAGAGTTGCTATTCTTATGACAATATTCGACAGTTGGGCTTTTCTATGGATAGTTGCAAAAGACCATTCCTGCTGTCCACACGGAACTCATATCATGCCTGTAGTGGCAGTAGTGGCTTGTGATGAGAGCAATATTTTAAATCAAATAAAAAGAGTTCGTTAAATTTTATTAAAAATTCATTAGAAACTCGTTGCGCTACGCGAAAGAGTATTTCAATATGTGGTCTAATAGAAGAATGGCGGTATCAATTACGTTTTCACTAAGGTTGGCTTTTAGGGCAAAATATATCAATGCGTATGAAATTTCATTGAAATATCGTCAAAATTGAGACTTGTAGAAATTCCCGAAGTGCTAGGGCATAACGAAATATAGAATGCCGGGGTTTTGCACGGAATCCTAATTCGTATCAAAACTCAAAGCATTTCTAATAGGTCTCAGCGCTCTTCGACTTAATACTACAATGGATATGATATTCGAACTATTAAATAAAGTTCCACTGGACTTGTGGTACGAGGCATTCAAATACATTTTGTGCATTTTTTGATAAAATTTAAACTTGTTCCAAGGATTAATAATCAAACTATTCTCCATCACTCTCTATAGTCTAATTAGTTGGATATTCTGCGGATGTCCTTTATGTAGAAACTTCATGGTTCAGATGTGAAGTAATCACAAACGCCAACGTTTAAGTTATATGTACCGAAAATCTTGGAAAAAAGCAATTCCTCATAGACGTTTCGTAAAACAATTAATTTCAATACACGAAACTTATTATGTACGCACTGGAGCTAACTAACATGAAATCAAGATCTTACCAATATATTAAAAAGATTCTAATACACCTCATCCCAAGGAGTAGCTATGCAAACAGGCAGACAGATTGGCACGCAGTCATTGAGATAGACGAACAGTTAGATAGATAGGCAGATAGGCGTAGCGTTTATGTTTTATATGCTTGTTAAACGTAGACACTCCTACGTAATAATTGATCTGGTTACGGAACTTATTTTGGATCAAAACGAAAGGTATGAATTAAAAAATAGACTTTGTTGTTATGTCTAAAACTTTATGGATCTCGGCATTAAGCGACATACAACAGACATATAAACAGATTTACACGGACATAGAAAGCTTCTCTTATTTTGGCGATTGTTGGCAAACTCATGAACCAGTTGAGCTTATAAAGGCATAGTTTATTATTTTTTATACGTCTTTATACAATTGTAAGCGTAACTCGATTGACAGACAAAAAGGTAGACAAACAGGCAGGCAGGCAGTTAAATCGATTTTGCTGTTCATTTATTGCCGTTTGACATGCTTAATACATTTCATGTGCGGTTTAGTAGTTAAGATTAGCTCGCTCGAAGGCAAATATTTTTTTATATCCATCACCTTAGAATGGAGGTATATTAAGTTTGTCAAAACGTTTGCAACACCCAGAAAGAAGCCTTAAACATCTTTGATCAGAATCAAATTCTCAATCGATTTAAGCATTTTCGTCTGTCCCTCTGTCCGTCTGTTCGTCTGTTCGTCTTTGCAATATCTATAGCAAACATTCTTGAAAGCGTTGCAAGCTCTTGTGCACAGGCACAATAAGAATTGTCACGTAGACTCTACACTTTATTCTGGACATGTGCATAAAAGAGTCGATCATACCTGAATATAATTTCCTTACTTACTTAATTTCTACATGTTTTACGTTACTTTATTTAATTTTAATTTATTTCATTTATTTATCTTGTTTTTTTAATGAATTTTTTTCTTCTTTTGCTTTTTTGCTTTAAACTTCAGAAAGAAATGAGGTAACAATTGTTATTTTATTATTGTCGTGACATGCTTTCGAATGCTTTCGAATGTTTCGCGCTCCATAGATAGGGTGGCTGTGATTTAGTGAACCGGTTCCTGACTCTAAAGTATTTACTTTTCATTAAATACTCGCTCGTATATATATAAATGAGATTATATAAATAAGATATTGTCACAAGTGTAGATAAGATCAAAACAAAAAAAAAAAAACAAAAACAAAATATATATACAAATTTTTTTTTTCTTTCATTTCTGCTTACTCTGCTTTGACATTTTTAATGATATTCTTTAATATGCTTAATAGCATCAATTACGCGCTTCTGTGTTGAGTTTTGTTTCTTTTTTTTTGGTTTCAGCAAATTAACAAATTAACCTATCAACGAATTGTTAATAATCATAAGCTACAATCATTCACACACACACACACACACACATATGCATTATCAAGTGTTAAGGTGAGGTTTATAACGATTACTGATCGTTAATGCATGTAATTGAAATAAATTGTCGAAAATTATCAATGGACAGAAAGAAGGACAGGGAAGGAAACATAGACAGAGAGAGAATCAGAGAGAGAGAGAGAGAGAGAGAGAGAGAGAGAGAGAGAGAGAGATAGAGAGGGAAAGAGAGGTAATGAAACATTACATTTTGTTTAACAATATCGAAGCGTACTTATTACATCGAATGCATTTGCTCATTGGAAATATATAAACTGAAAACCTTTATGAATGAATTTCATAATGACGATAATAATAATAATAATAATAATAATAAATATTAGCAAAATATTAAAAGTAAAACAATTGAAGCTTTAAATAAAATTAATTGACTACAAATGTTAAAGACACAAGAATACTTGAATACAATGTTTTATCTCTCACATTAATTCTATTCATTTGCTCTAGCTATCATGACTTTAATAATATGAATATTTGTTTTTTATTTAAATTAAATATCTTTCATATATCCGCAGTTAATGGTTAAACGATCGCTTGTGCCTTATATGGCCAAGTTTTCAGTTTCATTTTATTGGCTCATTGAACTTGACTTGATTGACATTTGTTGTATAAGTTGGAATGTGTGTACGGTTATATATATATATATATATATACATATATTAGATTATAAGTAGACCATTTCTTAACTAAAATAGCTAACGTAACGTTTAACATTTGCGTTAAGGAGTGGAAGCTGCGGCTACTGCTGATCTTATTAAACTAAGTCAGTTAAGCCACCAGTGCTAGTTGCCTTTTTTCATAAGCATTAAGCGTGTACGCGAATAATTGTCATTTGCTTTACATTATAAAACGTTATTTTTCTATAATTATGAGCGTACAAATCAATAAGGAAAACAAATGCTTACATACACAAATGCATGTAAATACGTATAGATTTTTATCCATGACATTGTTAGACATACACACTGAAGAGATCGAGTCGCTTTCAATGAAATGCTTTTTTCTTTTTTTTTTTCTTTTTTGCATGCACGAATAATAAAAAAATTCGTTCGTGTGTGCGCATGTTTGTGTTGATATGTTTTTGAGGTTATTGGATAATTTACTACTAATTAACAACGAATGCACGATGATATATTTTCTTATATGAATATTTATAAAATAAAAGACTTAAGCAACAAACTTTTCAAACTCAACGTTCAAGCGAGCTTTCAGACGCATTTGCAAAAAATACTTTTTGTGTAAAAATAAAGTCATTAATAACATAAACACATTATGCATACGGAAGAAAATCAATTCAAAAAACCCATAAAAATATTAAAAAAGGCCAAGCCGAACCTTCAAATACCGTACGTCATATATCTTGATACAATTCTTTATTTATTTTTCTTGACAAAAGTATTCTCTGTGCTCATATAAAAGCATATTCTTGATGTTCGACGATAAAATATGGACGTCGTATAGAGATGCGTGTCAAAAAGTAGCCTTAAATGATCCAAATTTGTTTCTAAGTCAAACTGCTATTCTCATCGTAGAATTATGGAAATTCGATTTTTTTCCGACATACAGGCTTACTTTTCGTGAGAACGCCGATATGGCACGTAAAACAAAAGATAGGCCAACGTGGTCCAAATTTGTTACTTTTTCAGTGGTCACAAAAGCGGTTCGATTTAATCGATTTTCAATAGGGTTTCATTTTGCCTCAAAATATGTCGGTATAGAAAGTAGTCTCAAAACGTGCGACCTGTGCATTGAGCACAAAGTTATATGGGCAGGCAACAGACAGACAGGCAGATATAATTAAGTCGATCCAGAAACAATCGGCTGATGGACTCAGCTTAATATTCTCTGGGTATTACGTACATACTTACAAGCTTTATACACCCTTTATCACAAGTAGTGTAATGAGAAAAAAATAAAGCAAAAAGTTCACGAAAGAACTTTAGGAAATAATTAATAATAAATCTTGAAAAAATGCATAAATAAATATAAAATAAATTAAAAGAAAAAAGTTTTCATTTCCTCATTACAGCATGTCGCCATTACTATTGACGTTCTTAACCTTCGCCACGCTAACAGTGACATATATTGCCCCATTTACTGAAGCTGGTTTCGGTAATGGTTATTCTTATCAAAAGCCAGCGTCTTCAGGTTCTGGAGGTCATCACTTTGCAACATTACCTACTGTACGACCTCTGCCGCCTGTACCTGATTTACCAGCTTTGGTGAGTTTTATTGTTGCAATACGATAGTTGGTGGCGGAATTAAGGCTGGCTGTTGCGGAAATGAAATTTGACTTGACTCCAGTTCTACATTAGAGCATAGAAATATAGATGCACTACGCCGGCACGGGATTTCAATATCAGAGTCTATTATTAGTTTTTAAAATTCGCTAAATGGAAGGCACGACACAATTTTTGAAACCGCCACCGATTGTCGTTTATTTTTATATCAATACCACGGATGATTTTTTTAAAGAAATTTTTCTCTCCTAAGCCTACACCAGGTCCCACCTCAAAAATAATAACACAAAGCTTATTGCAATTGCATCCGGCAGCATCTCCGGCGAAACTAATAACTACGCAATACTTGCCTCCCAGAGCGAGTTATCCTCGAGTGGAACAAAATTATCAAGCACCAAATTTGTTGCCGCCATCAATATTTCCTCCGCTGCATTCCTTAGCGCCCTCTGCCCCAACAGCGCCATCTGCTCTATCGGCAGCCCCGATATACTCAGGCCCAGCTAATCGGGCGCCGCAAACGTTTACCCCGACCGCACCTACCAATTTCGCTGCGCAAGCACCGTCAACCGCAGCCGCTCCACCTTTGCGTATACCTTTCGGTAAAACGGCTGTTATTAGTTTCCCTCAACTACCGTCAGGTGGCAGCGGTGTTAGCCCTACAGGGGATGTGGATTTCTACGAAGTTAATGGTCGCCAGTTGAAACAGTATGCTGTCGTGGAAATAATTGATAATGATATTGAGCAAAATTCTCAGCTCCCCTTTGCCCATGCACCGTTCTTCGATGGCTACCGAGCTCGTCAATTCGATCCGCTTTTGTCACGCCAGCAGCAACAACGCTCTTCAATAGCCGTCTCTAATCCGGGTGATGCGGTTGCCTTAGGCTCAGGCGGCTTAGGTTTTATACGTCTGGCCAACGGTAATGTTTATTTAGGCTCGGGTTCTCTGGGCTATATAAGCAGTCAACAGCATTCGCAGAGTTTAACAGAAGCTCGCACACGTTCCGGAGCTCCACAACCCGATGCTTTACATTTCGGCCATGGTCCTTTAGGCGGTACTCCAATAACCATACGGATCAAATGAGACTTTTTCGTATAGAGTATGTGAGAAATAAGTGTTCTTGTATGTATATTTGATTTTTTGTAAAATATATTATAAAATAACATGAAAGCGTTTTTAGTTTTATTTTTCAATTTATTTCTGTACAACATGCTTGAATGCTGCACAAAACGAAAGCAAATAAACGTACGCTGTATATACAAAGAAAACAATTTTTTTTCCATAATTGAATTGCATTAAATGCTTGACGACATATGGAGCAATTACTTGCATTACGTCCTCAGGGACAACCAGTACGTTCTATCTATATTTAAATTTGAATCTAAGAAATATTCAGATTATTTGATGCAAGCACATAACCTTACCCTACATAAGTAAATTGAAACCCTTTTATATGCCCCAAGAGTTATGAATTATATTCGGTTTGTTAAGACGTTTACGACACATCTATTCTGTACTTTTCTGCCGTAAACTTGCACCCCTCTAGAAGAAACATTAGAAAGTCTTGTAACCAGATTGGTATCGAAAACAGGGCGACTCGGTCGAACTGCAGGCCCACAGTACAACGTCTCCGTTTCCAAAGTGGGAAAAATAATTTTTTTATTCGCTACACATAAACTACAATACCTGTATGGAATTGGCAAAATGGCCACTCCCATCCGATGTTGTAGAGTATTAAAATTTAATTTTTTCTTTGGAATATTTCAACAGACCCACTCGTCCTCTTGATCAGTAAAGCATTCTAAAGAAGAAGATTTTCCCATACATTGCATGGACTTTCATATACTTCTGCACAAAGATGCGAAAACTCGCCGATGCCCTCTTTACGTTCTATGGTATCAAAATTTCGTTTTCTTCGAATTCCTTTCGAAGATGAAGATACTGGCTAAAGAAGCTTCGCCTAAAACACTTTACCACCTTTCAACAATATTTGTTCCCAACTTGGACCTTTCAGTAACACGTGTTCATATAAGTTTGATTCGTATAACACATGTTAAAAGAGACTCGTATAACACGGTGAAAGAATGGGACAGAAATGAGTATTGATAAATTTTCATAAGTGCCTCTCTCCCTCTTTCTGTATCTATCTATCTATCTATCTCTATCTCTCTCTCGCCAGCTTTTATTATTCCACAACCAACAAGCATCACCTTTTAAACATAACACAGCGATTGGGCTATGGGCGGCTCATCTATTCTTGTAATCTAAGCGACTTCTGCAACATGGATTCACATATCAAGGGAGGCATGAGCATGTTATAGAGTGGTCTACTGTAATATGCTTCAAAATCAAAATAATTGTTCCCATATTAACATGAAGTTTGCGTTTTCTTTGTTGGTGAGAAGAAAGTTTCACTGATGAGAAAACTTTATCTATTTTCTGTGTAATTATTTCTACCGGTTGTCGCTCTCGCTATTTTTTCAAATTCCAACTTACAAAATTTACTGCTATTTGCATGGTGTGCGTCTAGGATAGTATTAACTACAATCTCCAAATACAATTTTTTGAAATTTGTTCATTTAGTTAAGTGAATAACAAAAAGCATTTCAGCATTCCGCGGAAAAGGCACTAAAACCGTAGCATACTTTGCTGGTGGGAAAAAAAGAAGTTAATGATTTGATAATATATTCTCTATTCTAATGAAGTGTTAGATCATTAGAATCAAAATCGTAAAAAATTTCTTACTAGATTGAGTGCAATAAATAATAAATAAATATTGAAATCCATTATACCCTTGATAAATGCCTAGCCCATAACATTAAATACCGAATGTTAACTTTAACGCGTGGAAAAATCGTCATTTTTAAAACGCATAACATGACGGATTCCAAAAAGACGAGATCGTAACTATATGCGTTACAGTTTGAGAGCGTTGGGACCAACGTTTTGGAAAATACGCGAACTAAACTTATTTAGGTTTACAAGTTAGCCTAAAAGTAGACAGGCATAATTTTTTTTGTTATTATCAAATTAAACAAAACAGTAGCTAAATTTTCTGCTATTTACAGAGCAAACGCGATTATAAAATTTCTTAATTTATTTTATTTTACAAGTTAGCCTAGACCGGCATAATTTTTTATTATCAAATTAAACAACGCCCTCGCTAAATTCCCTGTTGAAAGGCAAAGCACAGAGTCGCTTATAATAAACTGCCCAACTAACAAGTTAATTTGCAAAAACGCCAGCTTTAAGTTTCTCATAATCTGTTAAAAGAGCTTTAAGTTTCTCATAAACTGTTAAAATTCATTGCCGTCGGCATTTGTTTCTCATAATCTGTTAAAAGAGCTTTAAGTTTCTCATAATCTGTCGGCATTGCAAAATGAAAAATTTCATTTAAATTCAAAAATATAATTTTTTTAAAATATTTTTAAGACTTTGAGAATTTTTTGTTTTGTTTTCTCGAATTTCTACAAAAATTTTTCTCATTGAAAAATTTGTAATATAATTCATCTTTCCAATACACACACGAACTTTTACTTACTATTTTAAGTATATAATAAAGCTATTATATAAATAAAGCTATTTATATTTAAATATATATTATATAAAATGTAACAAATATCAATTTATTTATTTACTTATTTCATTTAATGATAACATAAATTACATTCTAGAAATTATTTGATTCGTAAATGTACACACACACGCTCACATTCTTCTTTATGTAAATAAATTTGTGATATTTGCTAAATTTGGAGTTTACATTAAGTATATTGTAACATAATTACAGATTTTTGAATAACTTTTCTCTGCCTTGACAGAATTAGAATGCAAGGCAGATAGTGTTCAGCTAATTGATTATCCAATGATTTTAAAAATAGTTTCGACACATCTGATGATGATGACCTGTAAAATATATTTACTTGATCATAAAGTAGAGCGAAGCTCCATTCACTTGATCTTGTTGGTTTTTCAACTTACAATATGTATAAATCTTTAATTTTCACAAAAGACCCTAGAGAGACCTAGAGAGAATGAAGTGGAGCAAGAGCGGCATTCGGTAAAATGCAATCTCTCAGTGATCGCACGAATTGTTGATCGTCGGTTTACATCAGCTAATCCTTTTATTTTGACTTCATCAAGTTGCACCGATCTTCCACGACGTCATCCACGTTCAAGATCAAAATTGCCCAATCGAAATTGTGCAACACAATTTTGGCGCTCGCATTCTGTCTATACATCTTCTCCATACACTTCGGATAATTTATTTTTGCCTCGGCAACATTTTTAACTTTCGATAATAAACGAGCAATACATGCCGAAAGTGCTGCTTCCCACTTTCCCTATTTGAAAGTGCAGCCACCAACTGCTGTAGAGAATCAATCAAACTTTTTCACAAGCAAGCCCTGCTATATCAACTGTCAAGATATATATTCACTAAATCGCTAAAGTATGAAGTTGGGTGTGAAAAACTACAATTAAGTCGTTGGTTGGAAAACAACGAAATGCTTTTCCGAATAACCTAATAATAATAAAAATTTTATTAATTAAATTAGATTTATTTATACAACCGGTTTAGTTCAATTACATAGAGGCAAGTCGACTATAAAGCAGTTACTCGGAATTAACTCACCACAGAGTATGCGTTTCGTGGAGGCTGCTTTAAAACAAAATTAGAATTAAGGCAAATTATATAATATTAGATTATTATATTCCATATATCAGGAAGAAACTCAGAATTAATACGAATTAAGTTAATTACTATTATATATATTTTATTATTGAATTGTTTACGCATTTTTACTGCAACTCTCTGACAAATGCAGTTGGAAATAATCGATTAATATGACATAGATCAATTTTTCAAATTGTTTAATAATTGCAATATGAGAAACACTTCCCTGGAGAACTGGCCTAATTCGCGCTCTACATTATATGCGGGAGAAATTCGCTTTATGAATGCGTCACGCGTCAGAGAAGGTTCAACTGGTTTTAACTGCCCTGACAATTAAACGCGTCTTTGAGCTGTTTATTTTGAAAGTGGCTCAACTCTATTTATATTAATAACGTCCAAGTGTAGAAAACGTTCCGGGACGTCTGATCTGATCAGATTACAAATGTTAAGAAAAGGATAATTTGCTCTAATGCACGCAAAATTTATTATATGAAATTCGGAAATTCGTCGTTTTTTTTCTTCCGCATGATTATGGAGTTAAGAAGAAGGAAATAAAGAATATATAAAATTGGTTTTATAACGTATTTCATATGATATCGTTTTTCCTTTTGTCCATTCGCTGTAAACCATCAAGTCAAGCATTCTTTTGTAGTCCAGGATTCTTTTTCAACATAATGAATGTCCTGGGTGTCCTGATGAACCAATAGACAAACAGGCTACGTAAATTCGCTAAGTTCCCCTTGGGAAGTTCTTTAAAAAATAAAAGTAATTTAATTTAAATTAATTTAATTTAGAAAAAGTGAATTCTTTATTTAAAGATTTTAAAGATTAATAATAATAATACTACTACTAGCAGTTACATATATATATAAATTAATGATAAATAAACCAAGTGGCAACAATTCTAACGAGTTGTAAAGAAGATAAACAAATAAACATTTGAGCAGAATACAACAACAAAATGCACACAGTACTACTTTCACAACAACGAATTAAACAAGGTCTTTTGAAATGTGAACAAATATTAGAATTTGAAACAACAACAACAACAACAACACACGTAACCAGCTTACAGCACCAAAATACATATGTAAAATTAACATTAGGCTGAATTCTTAAAGAATTTCCCGACTACAGTCTCATAAAACATACTTAATGGCCACTTAAGAGAAAGATGTTTCAATTCCATGCTGTATCAAACTGAAAGAGCAGTCTACAAACAATTACTCTGAGCAATCTATCGAAATGCAAAACAAAATTTCTAAAATTATGATGAAAAAAAGAGGTGTGTCTTAATGGATAATGTTTATTTTGTAGTATTTATATTAGAATAAACTGCTACTGACAAAATTAATTTGGAGCAAAATTCGGTTAAAAAATTGATGAAGATTTTCTTTGCAATTCAATTACGTTTGTTCTCGTTTTTTTTTTTGTTTAATCAAAGTATTGCTTATAGAACATTATATTTACGGGAAATTC